TCCCTGTTGCAAGTACCCTGCCATTTTAGTACAAAAGCAGCCATGGACTATATGTGAATGAATTATAGTGGCTCATTAACTCCTGTGTTCTAGTAGCCTTTATTTATAAACCCTGAAATTTGAATTTCATATTTTTTCATATATCATGAAATGGTGTTTTGATTTTTTCCCCAACCATTTAAAAATGCAAAAATTCATCTTTGCTGACTGGCCATATAAAAAGAGACAGCAGGCTGGATTTGACCTGTGGGCTAAAGCTTGCTGATCATTATTCTGGACTTTAAGTAACTGTGTTAAAAATTTAAGGGTGAGTATTCACTTTGTTTCTCTAATGCAAAAGAAGGCAAGAAAGGAAGGAGAAAAAAGAATAGATACAGCCAGGTAAAGTTCAAAATAATGTATTAGAAATAAATTCATAATTATATTAAATATAAATGAACTAAATTGGCTAAAGGATAGATTGCTAGAATGGATTTTTTAAAAATTCAAATGTATGTTATTTTAATTTTTTTTAACAGTTATTCATTTTTGAGAGACAGAATATGAGCAGGAAAGGGGCAGAGAGAGAGGGAGACACAGAATCCAAAGCTCCAGGCTCTGAGCTGTCAGCAAAGAGCCCAACGTGGGGCTTGAACTCACAAACTGCAAGATCATGACCTGAGCCGAAGTTGGACGCTCAGCGGACTGAGCCACCCAGGTGTCCCCAAATGTATGTCATTTTAAGAGAGACATACCCTCCCTCCAAAAAGAGAAATACCCCAAACATAAGTGTACGTTAAAATTCAAAGTGAAAGAAAGGAAAATGTTATACCAAGATAATACTTTAAAAAGAAAAGCTGTTGGGATACCTGGGTGGCTCAGTTGGTTAAGCATCTGACTTCAGCTCAGGTCATGATCTCGAGGTTCGTGAGTTCGAGCCCCACCTCGGGCTCTGTGCTGACAGTTCAGAGCTTGGAGCCTGCTTCAGATTCTGTGTCTCCCTCTCTCTCTCTGCCCCTCCCCCACTCACACTCTGTCTCTCAAAAATAAATAGACATTAAAAAAATATTTTTAAAAGAAAAGCTGATGTCTTTTTGACAATATATACTTTAAGTCAAACTTTATTATTAAGAATTAGTGAATTATATGATGAGAACAGGAAGAGGAAGATATAATAATTTGGAACTTGCATATACCTAACAGTGTTCTCTAGCATATATAGGTATCTGACAGCAAAGATAAGTTAACAGATATAAGCAGCTACATTGCAAAATTCTATAGCAAAACTTACAGAACTGCAAAGAGAAATCAATAAATGTACCATTATAGCAAAATATTTTAACATAAGCATCTGAATAACTGAGAGAGCAGGAAGATCAAATTTGCTAAGGATACAAAATTTGATTTTGTACCTTTGTACAAATGTACCATTTGATTCCAATGGTTATCAGGTTTTTTGTATTGGACATATAGAGAACCCTGTACCCCACAATTGAGTCTATAAAAATTCTCTGAATTTTATTGGAAATTGTATTAAAATCGATCACATACTAGGCTACAAAGCAAGCCTCATTAACGTCAAAAATCAGTAGAAGACAAATTAATTTAGGTGGCAAAAAATCGTAATAGAAAAAAATTTTAACTTAAGATTATAATGAAAATACTTGCAAACAGTACTTCTGGACTGCAGCTAATGCGGTACCCAGAGGCAAATGTAGCTCCCTAAGTTATGTATTAGGATAAAAGTCTGAAAAGTAATAAGTTAGATGGCCAACTTTATCTATCTGGAAAAGAATAAAAGCATAAACTCAAAAGAAAAAAGAAGGAACATAATTTTACACAAATTCTTCCAGAGAGAAAGAATATACCTTGGATTAGTTTAGAAGGCCAGTATATCCAGACAAGTACATTATGAGAAAAAAGAAATTTATTGGCCATTTCATTTATGAATATGAATTTAAGAAAACATACAAGAAACCAAATCCATCGATTAAAAAAAAAACATAAAAACACTATTTAACCAAAATTGGATTTATTTTTTATTGCAAGCAGTTTCAATTATCAGAAGGAAGACAGTTTCAAATCTATAAATTAAATGCAATTCCAATGAAAACCTCAAAGTTTTTTTTAATAGAGTTTGACAAGCTGACTCTAAAATTTTATAAAAGAGTGAAGAGCCAAGAATAATTTAAAAAGCAATGTTGAAAGAGAATAAGGAGGGGGGACTTCCCTATTAGGTGTTAAGACTCACTGTGAAGTCTATTTCTGTCTTATAAAGTAACAGTAATTAAGACAATGTGCTCTAAGCACTTTGGAGAGTAATTTGGCAAGTCTAGTCATATTGACAAAGTACGTGTTTGATGACTTACCAAACCACTCTTAGCAATGTCTTCAAAATTCTGAGGAAGTAGGAAAGGTAGAATAAACACATTTTCTAAAAAAATCTTTCGAAATTTGCTGCCCATGCATTTTTGCTTTAGCAAAAGAAGGGAAGGAAACAAGAAAGAGGAAGAAGTAGAATCCTGGAAATGGGTTCAGCACAGGAGAATCTAAAATAATTCCTTAATGATGCCCCACAGAGGTCGTCACACATCTGAATAGAAGGCCTAGAAGCAGCAGATTTGAGCAGATGTGTGGCAGAGTCCAAGGATAAAAGCAGAGCTGATAAATCGCCTGATTCATTTGACCACACAGATGTTTACATTGAGAGGCATTTTGTAAAGGTATTAAATATTGTGATAAGATTTAACCACAGAGAAAGGTCTGTATTTCATCCTCAGCTGGATTCACAGCATCCCGGTCCCTGGCAGTGACTCAATATTCAGAAATATTTGTTAAATAAGTGATACTCAAAGATAGCAGAAATGAAGTAGATTAAAAATGGCAAAGAAGGAGAACCAGCTGGAACAATAAAGGGCACCATGGAAAATAAAAGGGTGAAAGAGGTGACAGGAAATAAGGAATATTTGAAAACAAATTGATACATCTGGGAACAATTCTGTTGGGTTTGATGGTGGGAGATGTATAACATAAGTGAGAATCAAATGAGGTATAGTTGTGGACGACTTTTGAGTTCAGATGTTCTTAAATTAGGGCTGTTGCTGACAACAGACATTTTAGATTACCCGCCAGCTATTCAGTTCCAAACTGATGGTGAGTGTTATAGTCCAGTGGGACTGTTGATTTATTTGGCTAATATTTGACAAGCTCCTCCTGTATACTCAGAATGATGCCAGATGCTGGGATTTTAATAGTCAGCACAATCAGGTATTGTCCCTGCCTCCTTCTATTCAGAATCTTTAGAATATGGGTATATCCAGCCTGAATTTTTTTTTTTTTAATATTTGTTTAGTTTTGAGAGAGACAGATAGGGTACAAGTGGGGGAGACAGAATCTGAAGCAGGCTCCAGGCTCTGAGCTGTCGGCACAGAGCCCCATGCAGGGATTGAGCCCACAAACTACAAGATCATGACCTGAGCCAGATGCTTAACCGACTAAGCCACCCAGACGCCCCCAGCCTGAAATATTTTTTAAGCCTGGATTTACTCTTATGAAACATAAGATTCAGAAATTTACACTAAAGAAAGAGGAACCCTTTTGCACTGCTGATAAGAATGCAAACTGGTGCAGCCACTCTGGAAAACAGTATGGAGGTTCCTCAAAATATTAAAAATAGAACTACCCTGTGACCCAAGAATTGCACTACTAGGTATTTATCTAAAGGATACAGGAGTGCTGATTCGAAGGGGCACATGCACCCCAATGTTTATAGTGGTGCTATTGACAATAGCAAAGTATGGAAAGAGCCCAGATGTCCATCGACTGATGAATGGATAAAAAAAGATGTGGTTTATGTATACAATGGAATATTACTAAGTGATCAAAAAGAATGAAATCTTGCCATTTGCAGCAATGTGGATGGAACTAGAAGGTATTATGCTAAGCGAAATAAGTCAGAGAAAAACAAATACCACAGGACTTCACTCATATGTGGAATTTAAGATACAAAACAGATGAACATAAAGGAAGGGAAGCAAAAATAAGTTAAAAACAGGGAGGGAGACAAACCATAAGAGACTCTTAAATACAGAAAACAAAACCGAGGAGTGCTGGAGGGATTTGGGGTGGGGGGATGGGCTAAATGGGCAAAGGGGCATTAAGAGGGACATTTGTTGAGATGAGCACTGGGTGTTACATGTAAGTGGTGAATCACTAAATTCTATTCCTGAAATAATTATCACACTATATGTTAACTAACTTGGATGTAAATTAAATAATAATGAATGAATAAATAAAATACGTAGAACAAACTGCTGGGGGGGGGTAGGTGATGGCCATTAAGGAGGGCACTTGCTGGGATGAGCACTGGGTGTTGTATGTAAGTGATAAATCACTCAGTTCTACTCCTGAAACCGATACTACACTATATGTTAACTAACTTGAATTTAAATAAATTTAAAAAAAATTTAAGACTAAAATAAATAAAAAGAAATGTATACTAACTCTAAAAATTGAAATTCATTGCTTTTCATTTCACTGGGGGTTCCTATCTATAAGCTATATTGTATAGGATTTTTATTATTAGAAACATATGCTATCTTGATAATTTCGCTAATCATTCTTCTTGGCTGGTGATCTCTACCTGTATGTAGATGAACTTTGCACACGTGACTTGACAAATACAAGACACACTTCATTGTAAGTCCTTTTTTTTTTTTTTTTTTT